ACATTTTCTTGCCCGTTCACCACTGACTACATACATGAGGTGTTGTGTAAGGCTGTGGCCTATTCAGAGTCATTTATATGGCAATATAACATCCCATAGTGTCTTTAAAATGTAGGTTAAATCAAAACTATGTTTTTGAGCCAGAAAACCCCTCATATTTTTCACTGGCATTTCAGTGTAGAAACATAACTCCAAACAGATCAGAAACCTGTTGCCATTTTCATATATAAGAATAAAGTCAGATTTCTGTTTTCTGACATTTGGTGGGCTATATTTTCCAATAGGGACACTATGGTGAGACTATGGATACAGTTTACTATCATCATTTGCACAAGAGGGCAGGAAGAACAAACCACAGCTGTTAACATCAAAGAAATCAAAATAAATAAAAAGGGAGGAAAACAGAATAAGCAAGAAATACTTCCAGGTTTATGGAGATACTCTGTCCCTGTAGGAAATCTTACTTCTTGGACCATATGAGCTGTTTGTATTTTCATCCTGTTTAGTACATCACACATTAGTATCATGCCCCTGCTTATCATCAGCTTGACATGTAAGGCACTATTATCTTAAAATTTTAGCTTGTTTTTCTAAGAAAAAAACAAACAAACCATGACATGTTCAGTTTGTGCAATAGATAAAGGGATAATAGGAAATAAAGAAGAGAGGAAGAAAAATTTGAAGCTGAGTAACCCAGTAAACATTTTCTTTGTTCACGTGATGTCAGACTGTTGGATAGAAAAGTTAAAATAACAGGTGGATAGCACACATCTTATCTGGTTTATACTTATAATGACTTGAAAATTGGCTATTTTATATTTTTTGAAAGTCACTATTGTCAGAAATGCTAAGAGATTCAGTACCGTGAAAGGAGCTCTGTTAAATCTCTCAACCTGCCCAACGAATACAGGTCATGCTAACCAAACACCATAACTGTAACCCATACTTTTGGTTGTGGAAGGCAGTGTCTTCATTCATGTTCCAATGTGGTATATTTTAAATACATCCTTCTTTGGAAGCCCTGATTATAAGTGGTGGGGGATTATAGTGCATCTATTATTTTTTACCTCAGTTAGTGGGAGTCAGATGGGCTCATACATGTCAGTGTGCTCCATTAGAAAGACCTTTTGCCCAGACTTCTGAGAAAGGTAGAGAGGAGGATGCAGAAAGCAAATCGCCATGAATAATAAACCATGAGCTTCTTCCTGCAGGTTTCATGGAAAACAGGAGAGATTGTGTCTTGTTGCATGCACTTATGTTTCGCAATCCCAAACACTTTGGGCATTTTGATGTAGGGTGGATATAGGGCTTTTGTTCTCCATGCCTCTGGCAGTTAGGAAATGTCAAGCAGAAAATGCACTTTGCCTGCAGGGGAAAAAGTCACCGAGGTGCCCGGTGGTGCAATATCTCTGCAGGCTTATTCACAACATGGCAAAGAGATGAACCCTGACAGCTGGGTCTTCCTTGCATGTCAGCAACAGTGAAAACACAACAGATGAGCCTCAAAGAATGAGATAAAATGGGGAAAATAGGTAGCTATTCCTTTTTAGTCTCCTTTCAGCTTCTTTCTTGACTCTATTGGCTAACTAGAGGTGGGTAGGAATTAGCGATGAAAGGGGAAGGAACTACATTTCCAATTCACAGGATTCTTCATAATTATTGAAAATTAAAGGTGGATTCCCATTTTCACTGCAACCCTTCTAAATTGTTAAATTATTGATTATCTGATTACTTAGCTAAAAGTGTCATTTGAGAGTCCCCTTACAGTAAGAGAGCAGGTCAAACAAGGCTATGTGTAAATAAGAATCCAAATAAAAAGTCATTTAAATCTGCAGAGTTTAATGACTATTATGTAGCATGACTATTTTTGTCCCTTTTTTTTCTGTATATCAGCCCTAGTGTGCTACAGTAAGTTTCTATCTTTTCATAAGTACTCTAAAGGTTGAACAAATTAACAAATGAGTCATGGTGACTTTTCAGATTTGGTCCACTTTTATTGTGACTGGAGACCTGCAAAAGTAGAGCCCTGCAAACTGTCTTATCATTCATTGAGGCTGCAAGATCTAGATATTTAATTGTAGATACCTGCCTTAGCAACTAATTTTACACATGAGACTACTTATGTGCAATTCTAAATACCCTAGTGATTTTCCAAATTTGGCCCCTTGTTTGAGAAACTTGGTCATTGTTCATCATTATTAGTAAGGCTGGCCAGAAAACAAGAATTTTGCTTATTTGAGAAGAAAAAGGTTTTAGAATTTCTTTTGGTGTTGGAGCAAGATACTCTTTGGGGAAATTGAGAGAGGAAGTGTGAGGCAGCCTAAATAACTAACTTATTCTATAAGCTAAAACAACAAATAGCTGGGTAAATTGGGCAGCACTCACCTGGGATGTAGAATGGGACATTAAATCACTGCTTCAGTTAATCACTGCAATAGAGAATGATTTTTAAAATTTTCTTCTCTGCTTAAGTTATTCTAGTAAGCAAATACAGTTAGCTATTCATTGGATCAGAGAAGGGGAACCTAGCATGTCTAGGGGGTCTGCTCCACTTTGTGCTCTCATTTCAATCAGAAATAATGCTATGAGACTTGGGGGGCTGGCCATTAAACCATTTCCATGCATTTCTGAACTGTTCATGATTAATGAGATTTTCCTAAGGTTTTTGTTAATAGAATTTTGACCACTCCTAATATATCCTTTCTTATTTTTCATTGTTTAAAAGGGGAAAGAGAAAAGTGGCACCTCTTTAACCAAGTTGTAGTAAAAATGTGTAAAAAGCATAACTTAGTGGCTGTTCTCCATTATTCATTTCTGCATCTGAAGAATATAAGTTGTCCTACAAGATGCATTGGAAGGAATCTTAAGGATTTGTTCTAGGTTATTTTCTTCACTAAAGCAAGCTGAACAAAACTGCTTTTTGAAGTGTTGTTAATGTTTAGGTAACTGACACAAAAAAACCCGATGACAGGATGTGAGTTTCTAATTTTGGTGATGTCCCATTGTTTTGAGGGGAAGTTGGTTTTGAAGTAGTGATTGTAAGCACAGCAGGTGCTGGGATCTTGTAGCAGCAGGCAGAACTAGCACATGTTGGGACAAAAGTGCCCTTTTTTTCTTGGTAGGTAGAGGAATAATATTCCCATAACCACTTTCTTGACTAACATATACATTATCGGAGCTTCAGAATTCTTGAGATGTGTCCTGCTATTTAATGTATAAGCTGCCATGTGATGAGTGTGTTTTGGTTCTGCAGTATTTGAATAAATATGCAGGTTTATGATGGAGCAGAGGGAAGAAGCTGCACCAAGCTGAAATAGATTTCTGAATCTTTGTCATACAGTCCGATATATTTTGGAATAAGTTCTTATTTGATGGGAAAATTGACTCTTATCTCCTTCAAAAATACCTTTTACTTCCATAGTGCAGTAATAAATGATGATGGTAATGCTAACTGGAGTAGGGATTACTGAGTACAGTACAGATGATCTTCTATGAAGTATTTCAGTCTTGCCTTCAGAACAAAACTTTGGTGCATACAAGTAAATTGGCATCCTTCCATTGATTTCTAAGAGCAGTGAAGTGGGTGGTTTTGGGTTGTGCTCTTCTTGGATGGACATGCAGGTACTCAGCAGCATCTGGACTCCCCAAGGGCCCAACTTCAATGGTACTTTGCAGATTCATATCAATGAGGGTGGTCTTGATATGCACAGGCTGTGGCTGCTTCTTCCTGCCCTTCCTCTTTTGTAATTGGTTTTGTGGTTTGAACCAAGTGCAGAGCGATAAATTTCTGGTAACAATACTGTGTTGATGGTATTTTAATAATGTAGCAATAAACTATTCCTGCTTACCCTGTTCTGGTCCTCTGGCAGCACATGAATGTACTTGCAAAATAAAAAGGATGTAAATAAATTATTTTACTGTTAAAGTAACCTTCTTTTTCTAATATTGAAAGGCAATACTGCATGGTACCCTGCATCTTAAGAGTTGCATTGCCAAATCTTTAACCTTCTTGTTAAAATATTTATTTTATTCAGCTTGAAGGTATATATGATAAAATGGGATGAAATCTTTGAAAGAAAAAGGGAAAAAATTCCTTTCATTTTAATACAGTCTTCTATATGCTGATATTTTGTAGAATATGATCTTTTTTAAAAGCAGATTTTTTTTTTCAGAAGTATTCATGTTTGCCCCAGGGACATCATCTCTGACAGAGATGATTTAACAACATCCATCCAAATAGAGAGTGAACACTTATATGGGAATTAAATAATTTCAGCTTACCCTGCAGTTCAATGGTCTAATTATACTGGGGGCACCCAGGAACCACTGAGAGCCCTCCAGCTCATCACTGCCATAAACAGGCCGGAGCACCCAACCTCTCAGGAATGACTGCATGTTAATAAAGTCTTTACAACTGAGCAAATTTAAAAATAATTCTAATTCCTTGTAGATGTCAAAAAAATCTGAAATTCCATTTTGAGCTGCTGGGGAATATGGGGTATGCCTCTAGGCTCACCCTAGATATACAGAATCTATGGGCAGCTGTGATTTGAAATGGTACAAAAGAGGCAGGAACAGGGATGAAAATCTCCAAGTAGTTCAGATACCAAGCTGGTTTAGCTGAACAGACTTTCAGCTTGTTTCTGTCCTCTTCATGCTGGAATGTGGCTAAACAAGATTGGGCAGGGAGAAAGACAAGTGACAGTGCAAAACTGAGATGGGAGAAGAGAGAACAAGAAGAATTGTAAAATAGGTTTCATCAAGATACAGAATTTTCTTCTGTCCCCCACTGATGCGCTTGAACAAAATGAAATTTTTGGAAACTTTGTTGCTTGAGTTTGCAGAGTGCTGAAGTAACAGCTCAATTTAACTGCAATCTAACATCACGACTCCTCTATTGAAATAAATGTACCATATAAATTTTAGTTCTGTCTTCATACCTGAATTGAAATAGTCACACTGAGATATGTTTCCTTTCATTTTCGTTTTGACATTGACAGGTTGAACCATTGATCCAGAAAGGCCATGAGAATTTGGTGCACCATATTCTTCTCTACCAGTGCAGCAGCAATTTGAATGACAGTGTGCTGGACTACGGGCATGAGTGTTACCACCCCAACATGCCAGACTCTTTTCTCACATGTGAGACAGTAATTTTTGCTTGGGCCATTGGAGGAGAGGTAGGCTGAATGTCTGTCTAGCATGGTTCATCAATGGGGCTTTAGGAGGGTGTGTATCTTAATGAAGTTTCTTCCTAGTGTATTAGTGATTACTTAATCTGTTTTTAAGGGTTCAGTCCCTAAATGCCTCACCAGTAAGTCGTCAGTTTCTTACTGGCCTTTTGAATATGCAATGCAATGGTCATCCTGAGTGACAAGCTAAAAGTAATGAACATACAGAAAGAATCAATACCTTAGGGGAGAAAGACTGCCTTGAAGTATGGAAATCTGTTGCTGTATTAGCTTGTCCCATCTGATATGGAAATACACTGCCTCCAGCAATGACTAGTATCTGCTACCTGTTGAGAATGACAGAAAGAAAAGCAGTGTCTGTAGGTGACTTCGTAAAAGACACAGAGGCAAGACTTTCCACATGAAGTGATTAATTTATTTAATTAATTTTGCACCTCACCAGGACCTGGCTTCACTGCTGCCCCATTCAGGCATATCATTCTGAAGTTTCCTAAGCAGCCCAGAGAGACATCATTTCAGTGTTGGAGAGATCTTGTGTCAATGCAGAGCCAGCACAAGGGCCACAATGCTCATGGCAATGGGGCATATCTACAGAAAATACAGGCTCTGATGCCATGTTCCCCCGAGGCTCTGTTTTCAGCTTATTTAGTATGCTAATTTAGCCTGCAGTTAATGCTTTCAGCTGACATAATAGAGCATTACTGCCAAAAGAATCTCAACACTTTGCCCCCTTGATTTTCTGTGTGCTCACACAAACAATAGTATGGGCATAGAGAGGGACTGGGGTGATGATAGTTTCTGGAGCCTTCATTTGCCACACTGCAGTCCAAAAACATCTTCGAGTGCTGCAGTGTGAGGAAGCCAGAAATGCTACATGGACCCATCAAAAGAAGTTTAATCCACTATGAGCATTACCCCTGATGTATGCTTTGTGCATTTTTGCCATCAGCTATGCTCTGACCTAGTATTTGTACTTTCAACTGTTTTAATCTAAGTGAAATTAAAAACTCATATAAATAAGTTATCATTTGACAAGCACTGTGGAGGCTTTTGCAAGGATGATCCCGTTGTTAAAGATCTGTAGAGAGGAACCTGACAGATCTGGGTTACATTCTGGTTTACCCAAGTACCCATGTCAATTACTTCAGTTTACCCTTACACAGAATGAAGGTGAGAATATTTATTACTGTATACGAAAATTAACTAATTGATATCTATCAAGCATCAGAATGTTGGATTTTCAAATTGCACATTTCAGAAAGTTAGAATCTCCCATTGCATATTAAAATATTAGCTATATACTATAAAATAGTGCAGATTAATTCCTATCATGGAATTGCAGAATTAAAGAATCAGGTTGGAAGGGACCACAATGGGTCATTTGGTCCAACCTCCCTATTCAAGCAGGGCCATCGTACAGCACATGACTCAAGATTGTGTCCAGATGGTTCTTGAACACCTCCTGTGAGGGAGAATCCACAACTTCTCTGGGCAATCTGTTCCAGTGCTCAGTGACTACACAGTAAAGAAGATCTTCCTTGTATGCAGGTGGAACTTCCTGTGCATCAGTTTTTCCCCATTACCTCTTGTTTTATTGGTTTGGTTTCCAGAGAAGAGTCTGGTTCCATCATCTTAGCACCTTCCCTTTAGGTACTTCTACACATTAATGATGTCCTTCTCAGTCGTCTCTTCTCAAGGCTGAACAGGCCCAACTCCCTCAGCCTTTCCTCATGAGATGCTCCAGTCCCTTAATAATCTTTTTTGTCCTCTGCTGGACCCACTCCAGAAGCTCCATGTCCCTCTGGTACTGAGGAGCCCAGAACTGGACACAATACTCCAGGTATGGCCTCACAGGGGCTGAGTAGAGAGGCAGGATCACCTCCCTCAACCTGCTGGCAAAACTTCTCTTAATGCACCCCAGGATACCATTGGCCTTCTTTGCCACAAGGGCACACTGCTGGATCATGGACAGCTTGCTGTCCACCAGGACCCCCAGGTCCTTCTTCACAGAGCTGCTCTCCAGCAGGTCAGTGCCCACCCTGTACTGGTGCTTAGGGTTATTGCTCCTTAGGTGCAGGACTTGCGCTTGCCTTATTATTACTCTGCACTTGCACTAGCCTATCAAACTGAATTTGGTGAATAAGTTCACTTAGGAGATACTGGTAGTTTGGTTTGAATCACCAGTGAGCTTTTGAAGTAAATGTCCTAGTTATCCCCACTTACCAAACTCTGCTTATCATCATGAGTGGTTTGAGAATTTGCACAGACTCCCGTGGGATGAAGTTAAACTGAATGTGTAGGGGTGAGCCCCACACTTCCTAGCAATAAATGAGGTTCAGTGCATGGGTTCTGAACAGAGCTTGTCCAAAGGAGCATCATTTAGGGATGGTGCATCCAGCACAAGCTGTTGCACTGTACAGAGATACTTCTTTTACACTTTTGGCTTGATAATGTAAATGTAACCATGAAGATCATCTTTAGTGTTCGAATCATTTTACTTAGAATGCATCAATTTGTGTAGGAAAAACAAGTCAATTACATGCAACCACAGTATTCCCTGGAAATTACTACTTTTAGAAACTAGGAACATTTTAAATGTAGATTCACTTCTTCATAAGGGTTTTATTGTCAGACTAACTGCTTGACAATGCAGTGTTTATATATTTAAAATGGAATTTTCCTTTCCCACTCAAGCAATAAATACAGAATAAATAATCATAAAATCAGAATAATGCAGGTTGGAAGAGACCTCAGGAAGTCTCTAGTCCACCCTCTTACTCAAAGCAGGGTCAGGAGTGAGATCAGACCAGTTTGCTCAGACCTTTATCCTCCAGCAAGAATAGGATCTATTGTTTTATATTGACACAGTTGTTTAGTGTATTGGGTATGTATTAAGTATATTGCAATGCCATGTTCAGAAAGGTGTAAAAGAAGTTGCTTTTGTAATTTTTATATATGATTTTATCATTAATGTGATCATATAATTCCAAAAAAAGTCGATGCATTTATAAAAAGAGATTAACTCTTAACTATGTCAAAAATATCTTAACTCTGTATGTGTGTATTGATTTCCAGGGCTTCACCTATCCTCCTCATGTTGGCCTATCCATTGGCACAGCAGCTGACCCTCTCTTTGTTCTTATGGAGGTGCATTATGACAATCCATCATACACAGAAGGTTTGTACTCTCACACTCTTTAAAGCATGCCAGATTGGAAACTGTACTAGACCCAAGTGCTTATCATTGTGTTGCATGGAGAACAGAGCAAATACAAAGTGGAGGTGTATTTTTCCCTGCTCAATAGTTCCTGGTTCACTGTGTGTGTGTCTCACTGCGCTCAGAAGTTTAGCCCCAAGTAAGTGGGAGATTCAGGTGTATAGACTCAGGTTGCTAGACCATTCACTGGGTAAGAGCAGTTTATCTTGACATATAAGCTTTTAATTTATAATAGTGCTTTTTAAACCTTCTTAAAATTCGTTTATATGTAGAACAAGCAAAAGCAAGAAACCAAGGAGCCCCAGAAAATCAGGGGAATTTTTAAGCTGACTTTTGAAAAAATACTATTTTGTTATGAACAGAAGTTTATTAAGCTACCTGTGAATATTCTGGTGATTGCTGTATATGAACTGAGTAAAATCCAATGCAGCAATGTGCACTGTCCTTTCTTTACGCTAGTCATATATTAACATAAAATCTGCTATATGGGTTATGGTGTTCTTTCTTACTCTTATTCATCCTCTTCATGCTGTTCTAAATTAAGTATATTAATTTTTTTTTAATTTAATGGCAGACTGTTCTTTCAGCATGCACATTTGCATGGGATACAGTAAACTTCATTTGTATCCTTGATATTGCATGCTTCTTCATGAAATGTTACCTGAAAGCCTGAGAAGTTGTATGCAGAAAAATTGTGTTTGATTTGGTCGTGTCCCTAAATTCACCATTTTTAAAAAATTGACTCTGGTCTATGATAGTGTTGGTTTAGTTCAAGTGGCACATATGAAAATGGGAAATCACAAGTGTTTGTTTCCCTTTTAAGCAATGAGGACAATTTTATCTTGCTGGGACAGTTCCAGGTGAATGCAGGGTCTCACTAAAGGCCTAGGAAAATTCAGACAGCATAGGCAGAGCAGGGTGTCTGAAATCCAGGTCATGCTTCTCCTCCTCCCTGATAAAATGCACAGTATAAGATCATGCCAGAAGTGTGAGGGAGTAGACCTGGGTGCTCCATTTGTTTCCAGTGGGGACAAAGGAATTCTTCTGATGCAGGACCAAACCTGCCACTGGGTCACCTTCATTTTCATGTTTTGGCACCAGCATTTTCCCAATTTAGGTCTTGTGCTGAAAGGCTGCACTGTTTCCCTCACTTTGTGACCTGGGGTAATGTTTTCCTAAGTGGCTCAGGTTGGTAGTCAGGGTCAGCTCCCAGTTAGGAGCAGTTCAAACACTTTATAGGTTAACATGGATGGTTTCAACTGTTTATGGTTTTGCAGTCCTTAACATTCACTTTTCATTTGAAAGGAGGCCTCTTCTGAGGTTGTTTATCAAAAACTCTTACATACCATAAAAGTGTCTGGCATTTAGATGTTAGCAACAAGTTTGAAGGGGAAATACCACAAATAGCTCCAGAAAGGGAGTGTGGATTTCCAAATACTAAAGCTGAGATGTTGTGGAACATTATATATCACCTTATATATCATGATTCATATATTGCAGAATATCTCGTGGTTGATTACCATTCTTAATTGGCTTCTTAATAGTTCATATCCTTTGTTCCTTGATAATTATAGACACTAGTCCATCTTAGGCATTTTTAGTGTCTGGGTAACAGTCCATGCTCTGTCCCTCTGCCATTTGCTAATCTTAAAATAGCCAGCTGATTTCATATTGATGTAAAATTTGGCTTCAGGCACTGCTATGTCTGTTTTGTGTTTTAGAAGACTAATATAGGTCTCTAGGAAGCCTCTTACCTTCTCTGAGATAACTTGATATGTTCTTTGCATTTTTATTTTTCAAAATTGCAATTATTTCAGTTTTTATTCATGAATACAAAGAAGAAATTAAGAGAATATGAGACTTGTGAAAACAAATTATTTTTTATATCTTGACTAATAAAAATGACTAACAGAAGAGAAATGATTGTAAGCACTTCAGATGATGAAAGTAACAAATTATTAATAGATGCAGAAACAAGCACATATGGCTAAACATATGTGAGTGAACAAAATAGATTTATATCATTTTGACTCTTAAAACTCAGCCTTTTCACAGCAGGCTTTGGTTCTTTAAGCTAATTTTTGAAATCAAGATCTTTAATTCTCTTGTCTACTTCACTCAAGGTGCTGTTATCTACAAGATTTCTTGTTTAGTTGATGCTCTCTTAATTGGGGAGATTGTAAAAGGGATGTATTTTGTCATCTGAGGTATGCTGTAATGTGTCAGGCAATCCAAAGCAAAGGAAAAATATACTTAATACTAGGATTCATGGTGAAGAAATACATAAAATTCCCAAGTAGAAGACAACACATTGCTTTAAAATTGTAAAGAAGAGCCCACAAAATCTCTAAGCTGACTTTAAATATTTCATTTGAAAATCATACATGGCACCTTTTGAAGTCTTATTATTTCCTTGTATTGTTGTTTTCTGTCTGTGATCTAATTTCTTTTTTCTGAAATCCATGTTGGATAACTTAGCGGAAGGGACATGAGGGCTATGGACAGCACATATGTTTTATTCACATCTGAACACCACAGAGAACAAGATACCATGTTTAACAACTCTCCTGTGGCCTTCTCCTAATTATTGCTTCCTGCATATAGTTTGACTCATTTCCAGGTTATTGAGGCTGATTCCTCGATTTTCATGTAGAAAAGTCAGGATATAGCATGAAAAAAGTGAAACAATTTGAACTTTTTTTTCTCTCTTTAAAATACTGTTTTACAGCCACTGACTGCATTCTTTTGTTGCAGGCTTGATAGATAACTCTGGTCTGAGGCTAATATATACTCCAGTCTTAAGGAAATACGATGCTGGGGTTATTGAAGCTGGTCTTTGGGTCAGCCTCTTCCACAATATCCCACCGGGCATGCCTGAATTTGTGTCAGAGGGTCACTGCACATTGGAATGTCTGGAAGAGGTATGTCTCCTGCCTGAATCCATTGGTTTTCATTCGTAGAAATAGTTTTGGACAGTCACCTTAACTTGGGAAGATTGATAGTTACCTGTTAAAGACATGTGAGCAAAGGCATCTGGTACATGTTGACCTCCAAAATGTTGAGTCTTTTTGATCTGGGTGTTTACAGTGCTCAGTATTCAGGCTACTTTATTATATGGGTAATACTGGATGACACAGTGCTTGCAATGTTTTAATTGTGTATTCAGTATATAAGCATACATTACTTTCCACAGCACAGACATAAACATCTTTGAATAGCTAGCTCAGAAAAATTGTTGAGACTAATTCAGACCTTTGCATGTGCAAAAGGCTCCTCATGGTAAAGTGAACACCTGAAAGGAATTCTTAGACCAACCACAGAAACTAAAGACCTGAACAGGTTTTGTGGTATGGCCCAAAGTACAAAATTATGCATTTATTAAACACTTGGTCTCATTAAGACAACTTAAATATCTCTACAGATAATGGAAGCATAGTCTAAATCTGTGATTAGTGTATGATGAGAAATTCTTATATACTTTGTCATTTATAGAGAAAGGTTGAGTCAATAATATGGTTTGCAGTGAAGGCCAAATTAGATACAGAATTTAGATTTGTTCTTGTTGATGTTAAATATTGTTGATTGTCCTAGCAGTTTTCAGCCTTAAGACACCTGAGTAATCTATTATCATGATGTTTCTGACCCTAAGGCTGTTCTTAAAAGTTTGAGATAACAGATTATTTCTACCTTGAACTCTGAACAAGAATCAAAGCCGAACATATTGAAAGTTGAGATAAGTGGATTTCAAGTACAATGGGAGTGATGTCAGATTTGTGTCAATTTGGAAAAGTTAATTATAAAATGTTTTTGACCTGGAAAAAAGTTTCAGATGTAAACTTACAGTATTTCACCACCAATTCACTTGGAGATGGGAAATAGAGCATATTATAATTACAGCCTCTTAATTTTAAGTGCTTCTCTTGGCACGATATTGATGATAACATTCATAACCATACAGAAATTTTCTTTCACAATAAACATCCACATTCATCAGTATCAGCCATTAGCACTAGAATAATGTGCAGGTTTTAGTATGATTCCCTTGAAAGTCTTGAACTATTGAGAATTATTTGCAGTCCTATTGATTTTCTTTAAAAAATGTGTGCATTAGAAGTAAAAACATGTTTTGTTATAAAAAATTATCACAGAACAAATCTAGCCTCTTATTTTTTATATAAAACCTTAATTTCTCATACAGGTTTGGTTTTGCTCCAGACTGCATTTTGCCATAAACTGAGTTAATGTAAAATGCATTATTTAAAGTATTTTCACTCTGTTTGTATATTTCATTGCATTACATTACATTACTTTTGGGCACACTGATGGTGTTGATTTCCCCTGGCCAGGCTCTAGGTGCTGAGAGACCTGCTGGGATTCAAGTGTTTGCAGTACTTCTTCATGCTCATCTTGCTGGCAGAGCTATCAGGATGCGCCACTTCCACAACGGCGAGGAGCAGAAGCTGCTTGCTTATGATGATGAGTTTGATTTCAACTTCCAGGAGTTTCAGTATCTGAAAGAAGAAAGAACCATCTTGCCAGTATGACACACTTAATTTTTTTCTGTGCTTAAAATTTTCTCACATTTAGGATTAATTTTGCTATAGAATGTCTTATCATAGCATCATAGAATTCTTGAATGCTTTGCTAATTTTTCCACTTGTCACAGAGTGACTAATGCATCAAAGGTTTGGTGTCTCAGGAGTGTCCATGCAATTCATCACAGAGCTGGCTTGGTCCATCAGTTCAGGCTATTCTTTGGGTATGTTTGATATCCACAATTACTTAAATTGAACTTTACTATCACAAATGTTTGAACAAAAGAAATGAGAAATTCCCATGTGTGCCTGGCTGTGCCATCTTTGTGCATCCAGCAAGATGAACAATGGAAATGTCACCACGTGGCTTTACAGAGTTGTTGGAACCAAGTAGCACATCCTCAATATCTGCACACAGCAAGTATCCAGCCTTGCAAACATGTCTACAAATTAGTCAAGTCCTCTGTTTGTTTCACATATTTCACTGTTCTTAGGACTAAAACTCCATGCTCATGTTCCACATGAGTTTTCACTAGTAAACAAAACCTTTTGGAGGAAGAAATGATACAACTTTATCTATAGTTCTTGTGAAAATAATGCAATTTAAGTTTTAGAAAAATTCCAACTACAATTACATTATAAAGCAGTAGCTATCCATACATATTGCATGAAGAGTCTGTATTTTTTGTGTGAGTCACATTTTGTTGGTTCCAGCCAGCATCTTTTTTTGAAGCTTTAGCCTAAGGACAAGAAGTTTAGTGCTGCAAAATTTGTGTGCTCTAGATCTGGCCAGCAGAGCAGCTGGGGATGTGCTTGTCCTGGTGCATGTGAACAAGCCTGTTACTTGATGGAATTGGTCAGACACAAAATATCAAAAAAATGGATTTTGTTTACAATTGAAGTCAGTAAGGGAAAAGGAGCTGAAAAGACCATTGAAATCCCTGAACTGCAAATATGGTCAGGACCCCCATGGTTTAAACTTCCAGGCTTCTCTTCAAGTCCCTTTCTGTCTTCTGTCTCTTCTCTGCACTGGGAGACTTTGATATTTATAGTTTAAAGACAAGCTAAAATGCTAACTTTCTAGTTTAATTTCTACAGCAAAATCTGGATGTTCAAGTGCAGCATTTACTCTTTGAAGTCAAACTGCTTGTATTCTACAGGGACTTCAAAGACAAACTGGTGTTACCTCCTTCAGGAAAGAAGTGTTGAAGGGTTTAGGAAGAGGGTTGGCAAAACATGACAGGTTTGCGGAGAAAGTCTGTAATATTTTTAGGAAAATCCATGCAGATTATAGAGAAAGGCCTCTTAAAATTCAGGAATATAAGGGAGTAGACAGCGGAAAAACTAAAAGAAGTATTTGATAGTATCAGCAACTTGAAAATAAAAGCCAACTCAAGTAGAATCTGGAATTCTTTCGCTAAAGAAAGCCTTTTCTCATGACTTTCGTTGTTTTCATTTTATGCAAAACTGCTAGTGCAGCTTTACATACATAATCTGGTGTAATTTAGAGAATAGTCTAATCTATTAACTAATAATTTTACGATTTTTCATGCAAGTTCTTGGTATTCTCACTTGCTGTAAGCTCTTCCAAGGGTGTATCTTTTTTCTTTTAGCTTGTGGAGTCCAGGTTATTTGCTTTCTTCAGGTACTAATGCTCTCTTCTCAGTCTGGAAGCAAAACATCTAATCTCACAGACAGAACTCATTTAGTGAACATTATCCAGTCTGTAAGCTACAAGAGCCAGAGACCTCGCTGGTGGGAGCCAGCATATTCCTGATGGAAGCAGTGAAGCCATGCCAGTTCATGCTGCTTCAGAAACCTCTGTCTCTATTTGGCTGACATGAGGCTGATGCGTCCTCTTCCAGCAGTCTAGAGTACAGATTGTACTAGCATTGATCTGGTGATGAGACAACCATCAGGAAAGGAGAAATTCTCAGCCTTGGAAGGGTGATCTGATTTTTTCAGGGAAGTCCAATGAGTGACAAGGGAAGATGATGATACAAAACATCATAGAATCATAGAATCAACC